ATTGTTTTTCATACCAATTACTGCATTTTCTAGATTGAGCATTCAAACATAGTAGATGCATCAATATGGCTTTTGCTATCTATTTTGGTGATTCTGAAGCATCATGGCCAGGCTTTGCCAATGAAGATTTGGGAAGGGCTCTACCCACATTTGCTACAAGCGCGCTGGTGGCTAAAAAGGCCAATGCGAGATAGACAAGTCTGGTTGCAAAAGGCACAGCAGAAGGACTTCTTAGGTGGTATCGACAAGACATGATTCTTTCTGCGTTGTCTTTTCTCCTCGAGAATGAGATTCTGAAGCAGAAGATGCCTAAATAGTCATCAAATTGTTCTTGAAAGATATGTATTTTTAGAATCTCATCCAAAGGTCAACGTTTTTCCCAATGCAGCCCATCACATAGTTCACACAGACTGATACTTATCTTCTGCCTTCTGTATTTATTGGCAGTTTGCTGTCACCAAATGACAGTAGGCAATTACAGCTGGGATACAGTCTGCCTTCTGATTATGGACAAAATAGGAGTAAATTCAAGACAAAAATGAAAATTAAAGAGTGAAAGCCAGGAAGAATGGGAAGGGTCACAAAACACTGAAAAAGTGTGCTACTCATTGGGCATAGAGAAAAGAGAGAATTCTGATATTACACCTGATAGTCAAGTAGTTACATGCATTGACCCCACAGAACACCTGGGAAAAGGTGACAGCCACAGAATTATAGCCCAGGAAACATACACTCATTTAGACAGTCCTTTTGTTAATTTATTGTTATCATCTCTGACATTGCTGAGTTACATCCTCTCTTGTTGCTTATAGTTTCTTCCACCAGAACTCAGGCGGAGTTTGACAGGCTTTTTGAGAAACATACCTGTTTCAGAATTTTCTAAGTAGTTTTTCGGCTCAATTAGTTTAGTTTCTCTTCCACTGCAGCTCTTCAGTCATTACTTCAAGCTGACATTGAATCCCTCACACAGCAGATGACTGTTTCCTTGTCATCGACCAGCAGTGCACAGCCATCCAAACAAACTAGCTTAGATTTACTATCTCTTTCAGTTTTGATCTTACACTTTTCTTCAGCTGTAGTACTGCTGAGTTGTCCATATGGATTACATGATGTTTCCCCTCCTCTGTTACTGTGAACTAGCTACAGAAATAATTTTGCTTATGGCAGAGGAACTGATGAATCCTTAAACCTTTCACAGTACAGTAAAAAGACACTTCTGGTACAGGCAAATTCTTATTAGCTACCACTGCTCCAAGTTTATCTTGCATACTTGGGCTATAAGTGGATTCTATATAGTGTCTGTTACAGATACACCATCTATTTTAGAACCAATTACCCCATCTCTAACTGACTTCCACAGTGTTGAATGGCCACAGGACAGATACTCCTCGCACACAGAACGGTGCTAACAAGTAGCTGTGAGCTCAACAGTCCCTGAGTACATCACATTATATGGTTAGCAAGATGACTGCCATGTAGATCACCACCTTCCCTAGCAACGGGACAAAAGATAAAATGGAAATACTTCTTGGTGCGCACAACACAGCTTACAGAACTTACTACCAAAAGTTATCATTAAATTTAAAATACTTCAGCTCAGAAAATGGCAGAAATTGACATGAGCAGCAGGAACACAATATATAAAACTAGTTTTCTTGTTCGAAAAAGAAAAATTCATTTTAGATCAGGAAGCTAAGATATAAAAGTAAAAAACCCCCAAACTATCCTTGAGAGATCTTTATCATGTGCCACCTGCTCTAAAAGGCTTTTCTGGTTTTGATAATAGGCATTATCCAAGTGAAGTCTCATGAAGAACCTTAACCCGTTTAGGTAAAAGCTCATTCTAGCAAATTTTAAGTGTAAACATTATTTATGTACAATTTGACGTGGGGGAAGGGTGGGAAATTCAAACAATGATGATTTTTCACTTAGAGTTGTATGAAATGTGACAGCTACTTGTTTAAAAGGCTTTGTAGATGGGTTAAGTTCCTACTCTAACCTATGAATTAGAATGGTAAATGTAGACAGTGCTCAGAGGTTATGTCTCCTGGCAATGCACTACAAAATTTGCACGTAATTCGGATGACAAAAGTTCAACATGCCACCTTTCTCCTTGCAAACCATTCTGCTAAATTACTTATTCCTTCCCCGTGAAAACTGTCAGCCTTATCATGCAGATTCTCTACCAAGGTAAAAGAAACTGTTCCGGATGACATGAATTCACTGGAACATACTCCCAAGAAAGCAGAGATTAAAATTAAAGGTATCGGCTAGTTAGAACATTTTGCATTAGAAAGCAAGAGATCGTCATTGCAGAATTTGTTTTCTTAAAGTTGAGAGACATACAAAGCAAAGCATGATGCTCCACTTACTTGATTTCCTCCCATTTGGAAATAAGCTGATTAAATGTACTCACAACAGATGATGCCAAATTTGTCAGAAGCTTAGTGTCCTAGCAACAGGTATGGTACAGTATTAGTAATAGACTAATGACATGCACTAATAGATTAATGGTTTGAAGCTATGTACTATCTTAAAAATCTTTATTTTAAATAATACATCAACTGCACGTGCAGAACTACAGAGGTTTCACAGTTTGGAAATTCAATACTCCAGCTTTCTATAAAATTTATTTTTTTCAAAAGCAAACCAAATTGTGCGAGAAGCAAAAGCACACAGGCCTTCCGGCACTCAAAGATGTGGCAGCTGGACTTGACAACCACTGTAGGTCTGTTCCAATTGAAATATTCTATTCTATTTATCCACATTCCTTCTCATCTCTGACACTGGTTAACACACAGTTATTTAACACAGGAAAATGCTGAGTGCTTTACTGCAGTGATCACACACATGAAAGTGACTGGTCTAAAGCTAAGAGCACCGAAAAGAAAAAAAGCCAGAAACAAGCAGTAATGCATATCGTGAACTGGATTTGTGTAATAAGCTTCCAGAAGTACTGGAAAATATTTCAATTTGAATTTAACATCTGCTTACAGATATTTAGTATTTACCTTTACCAAATTTGGCCCTTTGCATACTTTTTTTCCCAGCAGTGAGTAAAAAGTTAATACGAATCAATGCTTTGTTTCATAACAACTTCCTCTCTCCCATCAAACACAACAATTAATTCCCAATTCAGCTGGAAGAGACCAAATTGCAAAGTAGAATACTGATTTGCATTTGTACTCATTTTAATTTAGAGAGGCCTAGTACAACGCATGAGACTGTCAGACACTTAAATTCTATCCTCGGTTTTAAGATAGCATTCGTGTACAGTGAGGTATTTCACAATTTCAGTGCAAATACATAGCTTTTAAAATCATTAGTGTAAGTCACATAGGCTACAGATCTGTCATATGAGTAGGAGAAAGGATGGGGACAGATTATGCCGATCCTACTAGCACTTTGCTTCTGGTCTCCAATAGTAATGAGTTACTCCCAACTACTGGAAGAGGCTAACTATTTCAAATACATTTTTAATGTACAGGCTGCTATAGCAAAAGATTTAAGACTGAAGCTCTGACCATCATTTTACTGGAAAAGAACAGGAAATATCCTGGATTTGGAGGAGAAGACAAACCCTGCTGTAACCTTCATGTAATCAGATTTTTTTCTTATTGTTTTATAAAGATTCTGTAACTGTTAAGATAAAGACCATTAAGCAAGATTGAGGTGAATAAGCAGAGAGACATTGCTTTCACCCAAGGATGTGGCAAACATAACCAAGGCATCCTAAGAAGTCCCACAGTTCCTCATCTTCCCCATGTTCAGTGTATGAGGATGGGTTCCCTTCCAAGCTGCATGAGCCAGTTGACACTGTGGGTATTAAAGGAGACATCAGTGACTACCCCTAACCAATCCAGAAGTCTTCCCAGCATAAAGCAAGATATTTGTGTACACACCAGAACGCTCAGAGAGGAGCACGTCACAGCTTGTGCACACAGTTATTCCAACAACACCAAACCTACACACCTTTCTCTTCAAAGAGAATATGATGCCAAAGTTTTCTTATGAAAGCCAAGCCTAGTTTGCCAGGATCTTACATCTAATTCTGAGCTCAACAATAATTGGACAGTGTTTGCAAACTATTTAAATAATACACTTTAGATGCCAGTAGCATTTGGAACATATAGCATTAGCTATAAAAACCCAGCTAAAGCAGCTGTTAAGGGCAGGTACCACTTATGGAAACGGTCAGTGTATCACCACGCTCTGTGTGGCGATGAGGACTGCTGCCTGCACTACTGCATTTTCTTCAAGCTGACCAAAACTGTTCTAAGAGACAATAAATCTCCCATGATTCTGTTAAGACAACAGAAACCATGTCAAAAAAAGAAAGGCAAGGAACAAGTTTTACTTGCCCTTGCAGATAAGTACTCCAAATCTAGTGGAACTAGGTGATGTCTTACTTTTCAAGGAGATAGCAAACAAACTTTGAGTAAGAATCTTTGCTTTATGCTGAAGAAATAGAATAGTCAAGTTTAATTTACTACAAACATTTAAGAGAAAGTTAAAGGAATTTATGGGTACCATTTCACAGAAATAATCTAATAAAAGAACAAGAGGCATTTATAGTATTCAGAAGCTGTTTCAACACCAAAAGGAAGACTTCTGATTCAAATGAAGCTTTACCACATTTCAGTAGAGTTTCGACTAATTACGGTGACTTCTCTTACCTGCCCCCATGCACAGTCCTTCCTCCTTAAAGTTTGTGAATAATAACAATAACAATAATAATAATACACTATTGCACTGTGAACCCATTCACAGGCATAAAACTTCATACAGCATAAAATTGTGACATACATTGTAATTGTAACAAACTTTAAATTTTTTAGCAACCAAAACTAACTTTTGTATTGAACTAGTTCCATTTAAGGGAGAAAATCTTACCCAGGAAAGACTGTAAGCTTCACACAAGGGAACAATTCACAGCATTGTAAATACCAATAACTGTAGTTAAAAAATTACCTTCTATATAAGAAAGCCAGACTGCCTACCTTCACTACAGGGTGTCCTCCAGTAGATGCTTTTACTGCTCCTCGGCTTCCTTCTGTTTCATAGTGAGCTCTGTGATGAGTTTTAGGCTGGACTTCTATTTTCAGTTCACACTGCCCATAATGACTTGGTAAAGGCCAGTCAAGAGGTGGCAATGAAGATGTGCTGCAATCAAGATGAGCACACTGATTACAAGAACTGTGCCATCTGGCCACAGTACAAACAAAGCCTTCACTGTAAAACACAATGATATCACTTTCCTAGCAAATGATAACCAAAGAAGAATACCTACTAGCTTAAAAAATCTTACGTGAAAATTCCAAAATGTTGCTGGTACATTAAAATCTTCAATTAATCCCAATTTATTTTGGGGTTGTTAGAATGGAATTTCTTCTTTCCAACACCTAATCAAAAGAAAGGTACTGTATGACCTCGAGCCTCACACTACCAGTGCTACTCTACAATGCCTTTATATTAATTTTTTATCCTCAAGTATATCAGGAAGTAAGTTCAAATGTGGTTTAGAGAGAACAGTATAAATTCAGTCTCTGCCTGTCATTAAGTTTTAACTCTCTGCGTTATTACCTTTCAACTTGTTGGTTTTGTTTTTCTAAGTTTGGCAAGCGCTGCACTTTGTTAACTATCATTAAAATGAACACTATATGATCATCTGAAGTTTTAAAAAGCTTGTTGTTCTACCTAAGCATAAAGACTTAACGAAGAGACCTAAAGTACATGTTCAGCTTATCCACAGATATACCCTTTTACATATTAGTAAAGTCACTCCAGGGAAAAACAAAATGCAGTTATTAGAAGTAATATGGAAGAACTTCAAACCAAAGTTTTCATACCTACCCTTTTACCTGCACAGATTTATAGACTTAAGATTCTAAAAAGATCAACAATCAGATTCAAGTCAGTAATTACCTAGTGGAGTAAATTAAATTATGAACATTTAAAAGTGAACATTTATAGCATTGTTTACTAAACAAGAATATTTACAATAAAAATAAGCTTCTATTCACATAGTTTTGTTCTACCCTACTCTGACCAACAGGAAAAGCAAATTAGGTTTTAAAGTAATGGACAAATATTGGTTTGTATTGTCATCTGGGAAAGCTCAAATCCATCTCTTTCCACTTTACAGGAAGTCAGGCAAACCCCCCCCCCCATCCATGCAAATTTCCACAAACGTGGATAGCCACAGGCCTATAAAAGGTAAATGATACCTTCTGGAGAATTTAGCTAAGATGTATAAAATCATATCCACAGGTGAGAAAGATGATAAATGTTTGGACTGAACAAAAAAAAACAAGGAAAGGAATCTGTCTTTAGCAAGTATCTGGAGGGACTTGGGCTCAGCCTGCAGCACCATACTTTTACTGCAGAAATGTCTGTCACTAGGAATGGAAAAGAGGGAGAAGAACCAGCCCCACTTGCTGGCCTCCTCCTACAGGAGAATGACCTCCAAGCCTACTGACCTGCTCTTTCATGGATACCTGCACTGTGCACTTCAGGAGAGAGTTGGCACTACAACATAAATCTTGACTCCTTTGAGAGCAATGGGAAGAAGAATATTTCCCTTTCTTCTTACTGAAAGGCAGAAATGTGAGAAATAATCTCCACCAGCATTCAGTGTACAGCAAAGAGGCTTCTTCCTCCCCCTAAGGAGATCTGATGATTGGTCCTCCCACAGCAATAGTATTTACTGGGTAGGAGAGGACTGGTGACATCAGCAACAAAAGAGGAAACTGTCAGGAACGCAGTATAAGCCCAGTCCTTCGAGATACTTACCACAGGCCAGGATGTACTATCTAAATGCTACTACTGGCTATCAACTAGACCTTATCATTCACTTTTATAGCTACTGAAGGAGAAGGACTCAAGTCTTAAGTCTGAAAAGGAAAGAAAACGTCAGGATTAGAAGATACTAAAAGGAATTCAAGAAGAAACATAGCACACTATTTTCATTTAGTATTTCTGGAAACCTTTTAATCCCCCATATAACCAAATATTCTATGTCAAAATAGTTGGTATACACTGTGAACAGATATGATACCTAAAAGAACTTGGTTAATGCACCACAAGCTATATACCAATTAATGGGAGCTTTTACTGAAAGTTGAATGATAAACTTGGTCAAGAAAAAACTATTTGTTGCTTGTGACCACCCTCTATACAGTCTCTCAGAGAGATTTACTCCTCCTGCAATTAACTAATAAAAATATGGCACAAGCTGTATCAGACTAACATTATCTCCTGAAAAAACACTTGGCATACTAGATAACAAATATGGAGACGGGAAAATAATCAAGTCTCAACATTTTGTCATTCTTTGAAAACAAATAGAAAATAACAGCACAAGAGAGTAAGCGAGTGCACTATGCACGTGCAGATGCCTAAAACATCAAAAAATTGCAGAGCTTTCAAAACACAGATCTCCCAATAAATGGCACAGCCTTTGAGCTGTGTACATCTCTGTGTACATCTGAGCACATCTCTTTGATGTACTGCATCAAACAGATGTCTTCTAGATATAGCTGGCTAGAGAGTTACAGCTGCTTCCCTTTTGAGTTTGGTGTTGAATACCCAAACTGTTGTTTCTCTGAGTATTTCTCTTGCTGTCTCTATCACCCTCAACTTCTCAACAGCAGTGGATTCTTACAGTTTTAGAGTACTCTGTTAAGTACCTTTCTGCCCTGTAGGGATATCGGTTTTATGTATTTCTGCTTCCTTATCACCCTTACAATTTTTCGAGACAAATACCATATAGATACACATTTAATTGAATCAGTGATCTAACTTTAGTTCATTTTGAAAGGCAAATTTTTTAATCCTATTAATTTACCAGAGTCCCAGTTATTTGTAGACCTTCTTCAAACAGAACTAGGGGGAGGGAGGCAGAGTGGGAACTTCCCAGCCAGCACTGTCACCTTCTTAAAGTCACATGAACCCACAAGCTTGGACACTAAATAGAAACTCCAGGAGAATACAATCTATAAACTCTTAGTGTTTTTTTTTTTTTATTCTATGCAGAATTCCATATCAAATGAGAAAACCCATGTCAGCCTTTGGGGGGCAAGGGGTAACATGTTTGCATGTGTTCTGAACACTTTTTGATATGAAGCAAAGCTATTTTTGTACCAGATGCTGAACATGGGAAAGTAAGTCAGAAGCTGTAGCTTTTACTGCATTTAAGGACGCGTTCTCAAGAAAATATTACTCAGTGTACACTATTAGCTGAGGAGCAGCAGTAAAACTTCTACTTAACTCACCACGGTTCTCAGCTGTAAACTGTGCACTGAACGTCAGTGATTTCTGGTAGTGCAGAACTTGCGCAAATTCAAAACCTAGTGGTGCATTACGTTTAACATACCTGGAACATGTTTAAGAATAAGCAGCTCAGCTGCTTCACAAGTAAGCAAGAATTTAGTGTTACAAAGATTCCTGTGTCCCGACAGGACAGCATATAGCACGACAGCATTTGCATTAGCCGCTCACCGTGAGTTTTTTTTCAAAGTTATTTTAGAACAAAAGATTAAAAAAATTAAGAACCTTTGTTCCTTAAACCCTTCACTTTTCAATCTTGATGGGGGAGGAACATATTTGTGGATATTCCCACATGTTTCATTACTAAGTTCTACCCGGTTCAGTGCCATATTACTGTTATAACAGCTTGTGACAGTTTTTTACAGAAGTTTCTCTAAATTTTTTGTCTTTAAGTGAGTAAAAATCTTATTAACAATGCAGTAACCTACTAGTAAATCACCAAATCACATGTCAGGAAATGGAAATAATGAGTGACAGATATTCTAATACTTTCAATAAATCAAATCTTCACATGCTGTTGAAACAGCACCAATCTGTAAACCTACAAATATTCTTCCAATAATACCAGGGGAGTTTTATAATCTGATTCATGCAAGCTTCCAAAAGCTCATACTCACATCATACCAAGACTAAAGGCTCCAGAGAATAGCACCTATTAAAGGGAACTAAGAGGTAAAGAAGGAACCCTTCAGTAGCATTCTCAACATTTAAAGTTATCACTTTAGTGATAGTTTTATCAATATTAATTTAGCAGATTCTTCCTCTGCAACCATTATCTCCAAAACAGAACTGATTAAGGCTACACAAAATTGACAGGAAACAACGATGTTGAGTACAAAAACAGTCAAGTGTGTCCATAAGGACTTCAGCATTCAGATTGCAGAAGTCAGGGCCCGGCTCTTGGTCTGACTATGCCACTCTCACACAGGAAGAAACTTAGGTCAGAAACAAGGCTGCCCATTTGCACTTGGCTGTGACCCTATAGCAGTATACCTGAGACAGAAGGAAGAACAAAGCCTGTGAGAGTCATTAAAAATAAGGCAGTTAAAAACTTAACACTGTTACCTTCCACCTGTTGCACTGTCCTTGGATAATGCACTGCACAAACAGCTGGGGCTCCGTGCAGACAAACTGCCAGTGCTGGTCCCTCAGCTGAAGCACATTGGCCATCAGCTCACCTTCAGTCTAATGCTCTCCTGGACTCCTTGCTTAGAAAGCTTTGGAACACAGGTGGACCTGATATAAGAACTCATTCTAGCCACTCTGTATGAAAATGTTCCTCCCTCTTTGTAATCACTAATTCTGGTAATAACCTTTGAGAGACACACACTAGTATTTCCAGATACTTGTGAAAGTTCTTGTTTCCTTTGTTGGTTGAGATTCCCAGATCTCCTAGAGTGATTCTTTTATTAATTCTTAGTTGCAGAAAAATGACTATTTTCCACTTACAGGTCCTCTCGACACATAATAAGGGAAAAAGCTCACTGACTATACAGTGGGGATATTCCACATCTCATCTCAGTTTTTGCAGAGATGAACCCACTGAGTATCCTGTGACAAGTCAGTGTTGCAACACAGCGAACCCCTGAGAATCTCAAATAATAACTATGGTCCAATACTAAGATTTTCAAGAATGCTTGTAGAGCCAAACTACTGCTGGTTGCTCTTCCCTGCCTAGAACAAAGTCCTCCTGGTGGAAGACTTCTGAAGTCAAGATTTTTGGGGCCATTCCAGATGCCACAGTGGCTTATCAATAGACTTTATTAATACTGTTTACATTCAAAATACCAAGTTCTATTACTAGCAGACCCACAGTTAATGATGCTTTCAGAGTATTGATATAGTACATTGCCAAGTAAGAACTTATATTCTATCATTTCAGAACAAAGTGGAGAGCTGGATAACATGTACAGCGCAAAAGGCCCCATATGAAACACTACCTGAATTTCTCTGGATTCATTAATGGTGTGTAAACATTACAGCAATAGCCTTGCTTATTAAAAATCTAAGAGGTTCAAAGTTCTCTTGCTTGTCTCACTTAAGTGGGTCCTTATCTTCAAAGTCAGCGATTTGCAAATATTTTCACTTCAAAGTTTTGCTAACATAGCATAGCTGGTGTTATTTCATTTATCAAAATAAGGTGATAAATACTTAGCAGTCTAACTTTGCCTCTAGTTCACTCACGTTGAAAGATTTTTCCTTCTTAAAATTAAGACCAAAGTCCCAATAGTTATGGTAAAAATATTACATAATACTGTTCCTCTCTACTCTCTAGACTTCCAAGACAAGGATTCAGACAAGAGAAGCAACTTTTCTGAGTATTCCACCACTATATTTAAACTATTTTTTTTTTCTGAGAGAATAAGTGACATTGCCAGCAATCCTAGTTTCCAACAGTAAAATACTCAAGTTGCCATTATATATCCATCACTACAAAGATTCCTGAGCTGTAAATACATCTGTCAAAGCCTGTTTGTTCATCACCACTAGAACAAAGAAACTACCTGATGCCCCATCACTTCTCAGTGTTACAAATTAAATTCATGACAAAGCAGTCTGAAGACACACGCCAATTTATCCAGTAGTTTTTAAATCAATGTAATCAATGTAAAAGTCTCTATGTAGAGTTCCTCATGAAGGAAGTAAAAGAAACTAGGTTTAATTTTAAGATTTTTGACCATTAATGAATATTGCCTGGTTATCTTCCAGACACAAAAGCACAATTTATTCCCATCAAATACTGTAGGGTTAAAAAAGAGAAAGAAAGAAATTAATGACTCATTAAGTTTACTACCCTAAGAAGTGCCTATTTGCTTGAGACACAAATTAGATTCTCAAGACCCACTTTACAGAACCTAAAACTTAGTTATTCATATTAAAATCGTAAGTTTAAAGCAAAAGATAACAAAAAAATAAATGTATAAGCAAAAATAACAACTCCCACAATTTTCAATTGCATCATCAGTGACCACTCTTCTAAAAAAACCTCCATGTTACCTACACCATTGCTGGCCATATCTGTGATGGTCCTTAACTCCAGAACACCATAACCACCATTAGCACCAACAATGCTGCTGATCTCTTGTGAACTGTACTTTTAGTGACAAGTTCTGACCAAAGTTGTTATATTACTTGCACAGTAGAGATTTCTAGGTCACTCCTAGACTCTTTTTATTCCCCTTGTTCAAGTAAGAAAAGTACTGTAAAACAGACTTTCTAATTTTACTTTTTTTTTTTGCACTTTCTGGAAATCTTACAACTCAAGCTCTAACAGCAAATGTGCAAGAAAATAATAAAATCAGCATCTTTATTGACTGTTGGGAAATAAATATATAAATATCAATTGTATTATTCTTTATGACAACTAGGATGCTCACTTTTGGTTGCTATCTTGCATTTCATTTCTATTCATAAAACATAAGGGTCAGCTTAGCTACCCTGCATTATAAGAATCAAAATCATAAAATATTATATGACAGAATGGAATGTTTAACATACTGAAGATGCACATTGTCATAGCACCTGTGGAACAAGCTACAACTGCTGAGTAATTCAACATTTTGCTGAGGATACAGCTGCCAGTGCAACCATTTCCACTAATGCAGTAGTCAGATGACATTTGGGAAACCAAATGTATACAGCTTAATAGATTTATTTAGTTTACTTGTGTATAGGTGTACTCTTCCTTTTCTTCTGTCTGTTTCCCCATTTTATAGTTACAGAAATTCTTCAGTGCCAGCTTCTAAATAAATTTTGACATTTAAAAAATATTTTTACTTTTTAATGAAAACATTGAAATTGCTTTTTTATTCAGTTCTACTCAGTTCTCCCTATGACAAGAAACAGGTTTAACTGAATTATCTATTTTTTAAACTACTTTGGTCATCCCACAAAAGAACCGTAGACCCACATCCCATCTTTCCACACGCCGATGTGTTCATGACCTTTAGCGCTGCAGTGATGCTCACCTTTTATGAACTGTGTTAGCCTGCAAGCTAACAAAAATGCCAAGTTAGGACTGCTTAGCATCCTACAGAAATATAACACAATTCCAAAATACACTATTAGGAAAAACAGTTGTTACTGTTTTAGTTTGAAGAAAAGATTCTGGTAACAGATTAGAACACCTATTATTAACAGACATTCTTAAAACCCCTAAAAATTTCAAGACAGTTAATGTATCTGTCAACACAGCAGTTTCAGATCTGGTAAAAGAGAGTTTTCCAGCCAGCAGCTTTACTGTTAAATTTCACATCCATCAACAGTTACGTAGAAGGACATTAAAAGAGGGGGGGAAAAAAAGCCTTCCAGCTACTAAAATCAATACAATTCTGAGGAGAGAAATTAAAATCTGTGGTTATACCATTAGGCAAAAAACGACAAAATGGCTGAATAAGCAGTGTTTAAATATATTTAGCTATTAACAAGACAAGTTAGTTGATAACTTCTAAGGAATTTATACAAAATTTTGCAATGATAAGAACACCACATTTTATCATTAACTACCAAGATTTAAGCTTTGCCTTTTTCAAAATAGAGCATACCTGTGAAGAATCCTAACCTATCCACCCCTCAACCTCCCCAAAAAAGAGGAATTGCTTCATTTACTACACCATTGAAGAGCAACTCTTAAGCACTGCCCATGGACAGACTTATACTATTTTAACCAAAGATATTTTAAAATCAATACAGAATAGAATGGAAGCACCAACATTTAAATCTATAATATGGTTTTTTATAGGGATAATTGTGCTGTACAGGTATTAATCTAGTGGCTTCTCCTTCCCAGTACCTTCCTACCCCTTATTTTTAAAACCTAGTAGAACCAGGAAAAGGTTCACAAATCAAATGGATATCCTGTGACAAGTAATTACAGTATCTGTCCACCTAGCAGCAATGCTTAAGGAGCTCTTGTTTCTATTCTACCTACTGCACTGGCAAAGTGACTCCAAAAGCTGTAAGATACGAAAGATCATAAAACTGGTCCATCTAAAAAGTAATGGAATGGGAAGTTCTGATTACCCAGATCAAACCAGGTCTCTCTTCTGAGCCTCCACAGATCATCCTGCTAGTACATGACAGAACTACAAAAGGAAAAGAGCTATTTAATTCTATGGTGGATGTTGGAAATATCTTGTAATGACAGCCCAGACAGCCATTCTTTCTGGATGATTTTCAGCATGGCATACAATTTTTTTTCTTTATTCTATTTCTAGAATTACATGAGCCCGAAGAAGCAAGTAGAAACAAAAGCAAATAAACTCCCCACCTCTTTTGTGGTCTCACAGTTCTATGAAATCAGGTAAGTCAGGTTTCTCTGGCTATATTAAAATGTCAACCGCTCAGAATAGATGGAACTGCAAAGCGTGCACAAAATCTGCAGACATTTAATTCAGCTGGGCTCTGTGCAAGTACACAAACAAACTAATCCTATGTTACAATGCATTTACTGTACTTTTAAAAGAAGAAAAAGATGGGCATTTGGTATCTCAACTTATTTTTTCCTAATTATAACATCTACCTGCCTACAACAAGTTTTCTTTAAGTAAAGTCTTAATGCATCACTGAAATATAAGGACAATGCCTACTTAAGATGCATTGGAGGGGAAAAAACAGGAGGGAAAGACTTTGTAATCACTTACCGAAATATAGGAGTATGACCAGGCTTCGGTTTGTTCCAAGTAAAGTGTGAAGGAACAGAAAGAAATTGGTCTCCGGGCAAGTCTTTTTTCAAGGTGTGCTGAGATCCAGAGCAATCATCTACTGCAGTTTCGAGGGATGATGACAAGTTACCCTGCTCTTCAGGACAGATATCGACCTTTCCAGATAAAGTGGCGGTCTGATCCTCTGAGGTCTTTCTTGTTTTTAGAGGAATATCAGTCTCTGTACAACACTGAAATGGTGAAAGGCCAGAATTAAGGCCTTGTACACTATGGATGGAAGTGTTTAGCCACGTGTCTTCTGTTATGCTTCCTCTGGGAGAATGGCCAGGTGATGGAGTTGGAGAATGGTGAGGAGAGAGAGAACCAGCGTAGCAAATCTCAGCACTGGAGTGTCGTCGTTTCCCACAAGGGGATGTAGGTCTTGATGAGGGCCTTGATGTTGGTCTAGGGCTTAACCAATTTTCATCTGTAATACTAGTTCTAGGAGAATGACAGGGAGACTGTCTAGGTGACAAGGAGTGCCCAAATCCATAAGGTTGCTGCCATGATTCATCACTGGGACCTCTCGGAGAACCACCAGGTGATGCCAAAGGAGAGCCAAGGGTAAATCGAGCAGCTGCTTCATTTAGCTCTGAGTCTACATCATCATAAACATGGGAAATGGATTCACAAGAGGAAGCGTCTGAAAACCAACTTCTGGATGAAATGCTGCTGGCAGGGCTTGGACTAAGGGATGATTCCCTGTATGATGGCTCAAGAGGAAGATAGAGATGGTCCCGTGAAGGCCTTTCCATATAGTCATTTTCTGTGCCATTTGTGTGTAGTTCATCTTCACTGGCTTCGATCCCCTGATGACAGTTGGGTGAGATCGATGTAATTTGAATACTGGGGCACTCGAAGGGTTTGGGTCCACCTAGTGGACTGTATTTGGACTCTGGTACCTCACACGTCCCTTCATAGTTCTTATGGCTCTGAAGTCTTGTAGGAGGTGTCAGGGGAGAGGAGTGAGATTGCAGTCCGTGGCGAGGAATACAAATGGGCTGATTCACAGAGGACGATGGTTGGTCTACATTAAAGATGTATATGGACGCACAGTCATCTGACTCAAGATCTGAAAACAAAATTAAAACATAAAGAAAAAAAGGAACAGAGTCAGAATGCAATACTTGGAAAAATGCCATAAACAAAATCCTTTGTTTCCCAGATATGGACTGTTATCAACATCATGGACATTTCCCATTATACTAGCTACAAAAAATAAAGTTAACTCTTAATTTTACATTTTCCCCAGTCATATTTACAGCATGGTTTTCTATCATAAATCCTGTTTTCAACAAGATTCCACAGCTTATACACATCTTTAGTGGTTGAAATTATAATACAAACAGAAAAATGGGTTTAAATCTTGAAAGGATCCAAACTTAAACATTCAATTCAAACTTTGTCTTTCACAACTGTATTCCACTTATAATGTAACATTTTTCATCATAAATAATTTCAAAAAATCATATTTTTATCACAAACAGGACTATGGTACTTTCTGCAAGTCTAGTCAATACTTACAAGCACTGTAATATCACCTACATAATATTTATCTACTTTAACAATAGAAAGCATCTTACAGTGACTCAAACTCAAATGAAGATTATGAACCACTAAAAACATTCAATCACAAGAGGTTCAACAAAGAATATTATTAAAGGTATTATAAAGAATCATATTCCAAAGATCTTTTTTTGTTGCTTAGAAAACTCTTAAGTGCTCATCCCACAAAATGACATTTTTCAATTGCAGTCTCATGAAGTTTGAGCACAAGTTGTTCAGCAAAATAAGGCAAAACAAAATATTCTCAGATCTCACTAACTTATCCAAAACATAGGAAATATTACAAGAAAAACAAGAAATTGAGAGGGAGAGTAAGCCTCCTTAACAAAATCAGAAGCTTTGTCTCACAGAGCTGAAGCAGATTTTCTTGCCCCACTTCTCAACATTGAATTGTCAATATGAGACATTTGTCTGAAACAAAAGTAGAAAAAACACAGCTCTTTTTCTTATTTTCTAACCTTTATGATTCCACTCTTGTTTCTTTCCACTTGTAAAACAGAGCCTTCACTATAATTTTCCATAAATCCAGGCTGGATGACATTAATTGCATTTCTAGGTATTAGCTCTTTTAAAAATTATTTTTATCCTGAGTATCAGTAAAATATTAATACTTGTTTAAAAAAAAAAAAAAAATCTAGTCTCTCTCACTGTCAGATAAAATGTCCAGACAGGAAGCTATACATTTTAGGCCTTTCCATTATGAAAAAATTAGTTTGTTAACGAAGTAATTCTATTATCAGTTTTACTAATAGGAATCAGCTTAAAATTAACTAAAACCAAAACAAAACTACAGCTCCTCAGAGACAAGGTAGCATTTTCAAATGGAGACAAAGCAGATTGTTACCAAGGAACAGACCACCTTCCTCAGAATGTTCATGGGCAGGCAGCAACTCTGCAAGAAATATTATAATATTATAGGAGCACAAACTGCATTTAAGAGGAGCACAGAGTAATTTCATAAGCACTGTGTGATTTTATATATATTACAGTAATGTATGACAATTATCCATATTATATAATTATATAATTAACTACTATTATGTGTTAAGAGTACAAAAAATCAGTATAGATTAATTTCTAAATATGCACACACTAAAAGGATCAGGATTCTCAAAGGTCTATTTTATGTATCACACAATTAACACAAGCTCGTTACACTGAGCACTATCAAAACTGCATTTCCCTATCCTTTCACTAGGGTAACAAACATTTTCTAAAACTTTAATTGGTGTGTCTTTTTATTTTTCTTGCTGTTTCCTATCACAAAACATGAAATGCAGACAGTAGTTGGTTATGGGTTTTCCACGTCTATTGGTATATTAGTGTGCAAGATCATAGATGTCATTGTTCCTAACTCAGTATTAACATTAAAAGCATAGATCAAGGGAAGAAAAAGGCAATCCTAATAAAAGCTATTACCCAGTTTCTCAAAACTTAAAATAAAATAGTTACAGGTACAGAATTTTTGAAATAATAATAAAAATGTTTAAGGAAAGCAGTTGGTAGTCTTCAAGCCCTGTGTGTAAGCATATACTGTCATTAAGTTTTATGAACAGTAGCAGCACATGGGTTTGCACTAAAACTCTCACCAGTGCAAAGAGCCATATTTCTCTTGCACCAATAATCCAGAAATCTTAAAATATTTAAGACACTTCCTCCACTTTCAGTGTCACTGGGATTTACAAAAAGCAGATGTACATTCAAAATTTAAGTTTCATGGAGCTGAGGTGAAGAGATCTGACCAGCACAGAACTATCAACACCAGCTGGGAAGAACTGGGGAAGAGATGGAGCAGGCAGGAGAGTACTTCTGACTCAGGCTTCTTCAGTCCCTTTCCTGACAAACAACTTCTAAGCAGTTTGGCACTGTGCTCTCTCATTACCCCTCCCCAGCACACACTCAAAAAAACAGGAAGCCAGAAATCTAATGAACACCAAAGCCAGAAATCTAATGAACACCAAAGCATGCTTAAGACTGTGGACACAAGATAGTTAGAAGTCTAAATCACCCAAATCATTTTCGGACACAATGGATAAACAGGTAGATTTATTTCAGCCTGTACACACAAATACTCCCCCTTACAGTTCATGTGTTAGCTGCTCACACAAAAGGACAACACTAAGACCTTTACAAATCATGTCAATAATTCTACTAGATTATTTACCAATAATTATTTTTGTCCTATTAAAGACTGTAGAGAGAATCCAATCTCGAAGATCCCTCTAACCTATCTTAAGGGACTAGTAAACATACAAACACAAATACAACTCGGGTGAAAGAAATGAGAGGAAAAAGAATGAAAAAAACTCAGGTAATAACCCTTAAGAGGGAAAGGAGCAAGAATAGCTCAAAACAAATCCAACACAGGGCTTCAAGAAGCAGAAGGTAAACAAACAAAGGGAAGTCTCACAGTAGGCAAGTGCAAGGCAAAAATGAGTTATGGCAAAGCCCAAGGGGAAAAACGGAATTATGGAAATCTGGTTACCTAATAGGAGAGCTATTACATCCAAACAATCCTACTGGGGAAGGAAAGACAGTAAAGAAGTTGGTCAAGTAGTGAGGTCTTCACTGTGCATAAAATGTAAGAAAGCACTCAAGACACAGAAAGTAGGTCAAATTACTAAGGTAGAGTGTAAAACTACAACAAGCACATGGGGGCAAGATGCTAGACACGGCAGACCTGGCAAAATACAAAAGACCAAGAGAAGCAGTGCCATTCACATCAAAAGCCCACAACCCTAAAAAGGTAGGTGTGTTAAAAGCTTTTCCTTTGGTAAAGTCAACTGAGTAAATTGCTAACAAAGGTAACAGCAATACAGAGTAAAGAAAAGGTTAAAAAATACTGAAGAACTATGGCCCAATAAGTTCAACTTCAGTTTTAGAAGTAGTATTAATAGTTTATTTGTTCCAGTAAGCATTTGAAAGGAGACAGAGAAACTAAACGAGTCACTGTTTGCTAAGAACAAACCACGTCAAACAAATTATGTTTTATGATCAAATGAGATCTTCTGGATCAATGGCACAGAAAGAAACTCAACTTGGTTTTTACTTACTAAGACTTCTAATACTACCATGCACAGAGAAGCCAAGGAGTCTTTAGAAGTTTAGGGAAGTCTTCTTCCCCACCCTGCTGAGATCAGGTTCACTACTGAGGGATCACAAAAACCAGCAGATGCTTTATATTCACACAGAGTATAAGCTATATAAAGCTGCAGACTTTCATTGCAATCTCACATCAGGTGTCAGTGCCATCCAACGTCAATGAGAACCAGAAGGTCTCTCCTTTTGAATGTACATTTGCTCCTGTCTGGAAACAGATCCGTTTCCAGGAGCTCCTCTTCAGTATTAAAGCAGCGCTGGCTCATCCCTTACTAAGCTGCTAACTACACTTCAACATAAGCTGTCTAACTGGGGAATGTACTTCAATAATATCCAGAACAACTGCTTCTAAAGCACATTTTGCTCGCTACTTGCTGTATCAGAGTGCACATTCAGGACTGGTAATGCCTGCCCACCAGTTGTTCACTCCTCAAGGATGTACTGGCACATGCACATGTGCAGCTGTGCAGTCACCAGATTTCTCTAGAGAAGGAAGGTCAACTACAATCAAATGTCTGAACACAAGCCCTGTGACAAAATTATCCAAACTGCTTTATTATTCTAAGTTTGTAAGCCCATAAACAAACAGGTTCAGACTACAGGAGTTGCAATAAGGTATTAAGAAAGTGCAACTTGACCTAGGTCTTATAAAAATACTACTGTGAAAATAGGATCAGTAATCACATCCTTTAAATAGAATGAGGAAAGACTTGGGCATTGCCACAGACATCATGAGTGTCTCCCTTCCTAACTTCAGAAAGGATAACCATCTATTCTGTTTTCCAGTTCTGTCATGACAGTAACCACTATCTCTTTCTGAACACAATGGTATTATAAAAAATGTTAAAAAATACCTCTAAGTAGGCACAAAAAAGGATATGCAGCTCCATTTTTTATTGCATTATTCTGCAGATTTGCAGCAGTTTATATATTTCTTGGGATGAAAGAAGAGTTAATCTTCACAAAGAACCCAAAATACCCAATAATCATAGTTTTCCTTTTGTGTATTTAAAAAGACAATTGATCAGAGTTCTTGTTGGTACACCACACTGAAGCTCTATAATTGGATATTTAACTCCAGTTTTCCATTACAAGCTTAAGTTCTCCAGAGACACTTCCTACAGGCTTAAACACCAACTTAAAAAGAACACAACCCAAAAAATCCACTAAAAAACACAGCAATGTATTAATTTATAAGAAGTATAGCTGATTAGTAAGTCAAACATGGTACTGAACAAATTGTGAAAACAATTAAGGGAGCAAGGTGGAACAGGGGGAAACACATCCTTCTAGACCAAATTTGGTAACACACGAAACAGTAGTGCAAGTTAAAGCTTTCAGAAAGGGATGATTTACAACTGTCATTTTATGAAGCAGTTCTTCCTCTTCAATGATTTTGTGCTCTGTTTCATGGTCATATCAGATTACTCGAAAAAGGACAAAAATAAATGTCACTTCTGTCAATCATGTATGCCAGAGGCAGCTCTGTCATGCCAGTCACAATTGCACTCATTTTATTGTGTTAAGCAAGAATACTAGAAAAGTAGAATCAATGAGTTTTCTCCAAATTCCACTCTGGATAAGAACTCATTATCCTTGGTAGAAATGCAGAAGAATAAAGAAGCTGCACTAGCTTAAGGAGCTTAAGCAGGAGAATAACACAGCATATCAAATGTTTACAACTGACACTGATTAAAATAAGAGCATACTGGCTCTCAGAGTGTAACTACACGGTAAGTTTTCTTCAGCAGTAACTATCCTCCCACACAAAGGGGGAGGGGAAATGAGCAGTGAGGTACTTTTAACACATATGAGTTCGGCAATCAGATTTACAGTGCACTAACATAAACACCTGTATATACACAACTGACAGAATGGCTTTGGGACATGGGGAGAACGGAGCAACCAGGGCAGGAACCGCAGGTGTTCACCATCAAATAAAAACATAACATGCAACTAAACCCTTAGGCCACAGCCTGGTATGCATTTAAACTCGAATGACTGTCTTAGTGTACATCCAGCTTCACCCTGAAGTAATGGAACTAAGTTTCAAATAGGGAAAGAATAGCTTTGGGATACATTGATAAAAAACGATGTACAAAGCAGGTGAAGAATTCAACTTGTAACTGTAAGGTTCAACAAGAATTAGCCATTCTAACTTCAGTTACAAACAGAAAAGAGCCCCTGGAAGTGCTGGGCAGTGTTTATACCTGTGTCTTCTCCAGCTCTCCTACTATTTCTGGTTGATTACAAAGCATGTCTTTATATTATAACCTTATAAAGCTTGTGGTTCAGTATTTACAGATTATTCATTAATACTCATAACAAGTTAAAAAAAATCTACTTTTTGCTTTAAAAGTCTCCAAGTTCTCTGGGCTCCCCTTTGCTTCCTTTTTTTCTCTGTGGCTGTCATTTAAGAAGACACACTATTTCACTGCAGAATACCCCTGTACACAAAACAGAAGCTGTTGCCCTCCAGTTTGATGAAGCCTCATTTATCATTCAGTGTCAGATCAAAAGTCAGCTTAACACGACCTAGTAATTCAGAGCTATCAAGAAATACACTGTGGCCTTTTGGAAGATTCTTAACACAGTACATCAGCACAGCAATTACTAACACACAGCATTAGCAGCCTTTTTGACACTGCTGTTCTGGAGATGAAGTACGTTGTTCTATCTGATCAGTCAGAGTCTGCGAAAGGACTGCAGCCCTGCAACCCCAGAGCATCCCATGTGCTTAAACATGGGAACCAAAGGAAGACTAATCACTTGGAAACCAGTGTATTGTGCCTG